AAAGAAAGAAAGAAAGAAAGAAAGAAAGAAAGAAAGAAAGAAAGAAAGAAAGAAAGAAAGAGAAGAGAGAGAGAAAGAAAGAAAGAAAGAAAGAAAGAAAGAAAGAAAGAAAGAGAAAGAAGAGAGAGAGAGAGAGAAAGAAAGAAAAAAAGAAAGAAAGAAAGAAAGAAAGAAAGAAAGAAAGAAAGAAAGAAGAGAGAAAGAAAAAAGAAAAGAAAGAAAAAAAATATATATAGCATAGTCTGAATAATTGTACTGCTGATATCTGCTGGTCTACTGAAAGGAGCATTAATGCTAATTTTTTCTTCTCCTTTCTAATTTCTTATAAACCAACTTTGCATGCTTATATCTGGTAATCTCAATACAACTAACTTGAAGACAACATTATGCAATATAACAACCATTGTTGAATTCCTAGTATTTTGTTTAGTGAAATTCTATATCATTTCTAATTTTTGACTATTGTTATTCTCTTTAAAAATAATAACTGAAACTTCCCAAAACCATAGAGAAATAAATGTTCAAGCTATAATATCCAAAAGCTCAAAGAAGACTGAGGGTCATGCTCAGACAGTAAGAGAAAAGTGACTTATCACGCACAAAATAACTTTATGACACTATTTGAATTTATTAAAACAAATGCTATAGGCCAGGAGATAGTGAGATAACAGGTTCAATATAATAAAAAAAAAAGTTTTGTATGAAATAGCAAAGGTGTCCTTCACACATAAAGAAGAGATAAAATCTTTCTCAGACAAAATTTAAGGGAACTTATCACTGGACTTTATCAGAAATGCTGATGAGAGTTCTTCAAAATTAAATGAAATGACATCAAATATCAACATAACACATAAAATTTACAGATTAAAAATAACTGGCCAACCTGGGCATGGTTTTGTATGCCTATAATCCCAGAACAAGGGAGGCTGAAGCAGGAGGATTGCTGAGAGAGAGAAAGAAAACAGACAGACAGGCAAACAAACAGACAAAAGAGAAAACTACAGGGCAATACAACTAGAGGAGCTGAGGAAAGAGGACTGCTGAGAGAGAAATGAGAGAGAAGGGAAAGGGACACGGATAGAGAAAGGGAAAGGAAGAGAGAGAGAAGAAAGGAAATAAGAAATGGAAGAATGAGAAACAATGAAAGAGAAAGAAAGAGACAGAGAGAGAGAAAGAGAAAGAAAGAAAGAAAGAAAGAAAGAAAGAAAGAAAGAAAGAAAGAAAGAAAGAAAGAAGAAAGAAAGAAAGGAAAGAAAGAAAGAAAGAAAGAAAGAAAGAAAGAAAGAAAGAAAGAAAGAAAGAAAGAAAGATAAAGCAGGAAGAGGAAAGGAGAGGAGGGAGGATAGGAAGGAAGTAGGAGAGAAAACTACAGGCCAATACAATAACCTTAGTGAAGACAGATGCAAAAATTTTCAGTAGGAATATTACAAACAGAATTCAACAACTCATTGAAAAGATCATACGCCATGTGCAAACCAGTTTCATCTCAGGATACAAGCCCAACTCAACACACATCAATCAATAAATGCAATGTATCACATAAATAGAAACAAGACTAAAACTTCAAATGATTATCTCGATAGACACTGAAAAAGCCTTCAACAAAATCTAACATCTCCTCATGAGGAAAACCCCAGATAAAAACAGTTATAAAAAGATCACACCTCAAATTAATAAAAGCCACACATAACAATCCACAGCCAACATTCTACTGCATGAGGAAAAGCTGAGAGCATTTCTGCTAAAATCAGAACCGAGATGTCGTGTTAAGTAGGTACTTGAAAGTTCAACAAAAAATAAATAAAAGGAATATGAATAGGAAAGAAAGAGGTCAAACTATTCTATTGGTAGATGATCTCATTCTTTATGTACAATGCCTAAAGCACTTGATTGGAAGACCTTTAGGTCAGGCAAACAATTTCAGTAGAGCAGCGTCATACAAAACTGACGCGCAATGAACAACAGCATCCCTGTACACCAATAATGGACTCATTAAGAGAAAATCAAGGCAGCACTTCATTCACAGTAACTTCAAAAGAAATTCAATTCTTAGGCAGGTGCTTAAGCCAGCTATTCCCCTCCTGTGTATTGTTCCAGAAGAACTGAAAACCTCATACCATAGCAATATATGTGCAATCACATTTGTAGCAGCACAGTTGTCATAGCTAAATCCTGGAAACAACCCAGATGCCCATCAGCTGAAGAATGGATAAGGAAGATGTGGCATTTTTACACAACGAAGTATCATTCAGCTACAAAACAGGATAAATTTGAGTCTTTTGTTGGTAAATGGATGCAACTAGAGAACATACTCTTAAGTGAAATAAATCAGACCCGCATGTGCAAACATTGTATTGTCTCCTTACTGTGAGAACCTAAAAGAGAAAAATGGAATCTGAAGGGTACAATAGATACTGGGAAAAAGGAATGCTCTTATTCAAAAGGAAAGAGTTATGAGTTGAGGAGAAGGACAGGAAAAGGAGTCAGGGAAAGAGATTTATCTACGTATATAAGCAGGATGGTTTGGACAACTGTACTGTGCATTTCTGCTGGTCTATGGAAAGGAGCAGTAAATGCTTTAATTAATTTTGTCTCATTTTTCCAATTGTTTGTACTTTTTCTCTTCTTAATTTCTTATACATTTCTTTCTTTTTTCTTTCTTCTTCCAATTTTACATGGATATATCTGGTAATAGGAATAACTGGTTGGAAGATAACGCTATGTATTACAACCGATACTGTGAAATTCATATTTGTTTATTGAAATTCTGTATCACTTGTAATTTTTTCTATTTTAACTCTAATTTTTACCCTCTTTAAAAAATGATTAAAAAAAAGAAATTAAATATTTAGGAATCAACCTAACCAAGAGGGTGAAAACCCATTACAAAAAATAAAATTATAGAACTCTACAGTTTGAAGAGGACATTAAAAGATGAAAAGACATGCTAGGGCCAGCTAGATAGCTCAGTGGAACAAGGTGCCTGCACAGTGGCCAGGGTTCCATCCCTGGCATGCCATGCTGGCCCTGCCCCCGCGGTGCACTGAGACAGCGATTGATACTGGGCGTGGTGGTTCATGCCTGTAATACAGCACTTGAGAGGCTGAAAAACAGGAGAATCACTACGAATCTAATCTACATAGTGAGACCCTGGAGACCGTGGAGACCCTGTCCTAAATACAAAAAAAAAAAAAAAAAAAAAAGAAAAGACATCCTTATTTCTGTACTAGAAGAACTAATATTGTGAAAACTGCAGCACAACCAAAAACATTTATTTATTTAACAGAATCCTCATTAAAAATAATAAAAACATCTTGCACAATCCCAAAATACTTATGAAATCAGAAAGGATCCAGACTAGTCAAAACAATCTTGAACAAAAAGAAGAAACACAGAAACATCACAATATCAGATTTTCTGTTATACTACAGAACTATAGTCACAAAAACAACATGATACAGGTGCTAAAACATATATGTGGACCAATGAAATAGAATGAAAGACACAGACATCACATTGTGTAACCACAGTTATCTGAGTTTGACAAAAGGATCAAAACTACATTAGTAAAAAAAAGGCAATCTCTTTAACGAATGCTGCAGCAGAAAATAGCTATCCTTTGCACTCTTTCTTTTCCATAATTTTATTGATAAACAAATAGCAATGAGACAGCTTCAAATCAAATTGGTAGGACAGTATCAATAATTAACACATTGCATACATTCTTCCTAGTGGTTGATTGCTGTACAAGATGCAGACATGATATCCTATTTACAAACACCATTAGAACAAATCCCTCTATTCAGTAAGAGAATGTAACTATGTATCTATCCTAACCATTTTGAATACACAGATACAAAATGGACATTCATCTGTATCCCCCTTTTTTTAAGTTCTGTTATTTGAATATTATAGGTGTGTTAATTTAGCAAAATATTCTAAGAGTCCAGTAGTCCATAATAATATTGGGTCTTCCACTTGACTGGCAATGTAAGAAACTGTTGACCTGAGTCCCCTACAGCTCAACATAATAGCATGGCTTTACTTCTTATACTTCATTTTTTTTACTTTCATTATGGGAAAAAATCAAATCAGGCTGAATCAAAGACCTAGATACACAAAGAGAAAGTTTAACTTTGGAACTTAACATACTGAAAACACTTAAACCCATAATATCAAGACTCAGCAAACGGATAACAACAAATTAAAAAACTTTCTCTACAGCACAAGAAACCACCTGCATAATGAAAAGATAATTTACAGAATGAGCCAAACATTTCATTAGTGACAGAGAACTAATATCTAGAATATATAAAGAACTCAAAAGAATACATCTCAAAAAACAAATGATCCAATTTAAAAAATGAGCAATTGAAGTAGATACTTCTCCAGAGAAGTACAAATAGCCAATTAGTACATGAAAAATGCTCATCACCATTGGCCATTAGAAAACTGCCACTGAAATTTTATCATACTCCAGTCAGAATGGATATCATCAAGGACTTGTAACACATATTGGAACAACTGTAGGAGAAAAGAAACACCTCTCGATTCTTAGCAAGATAGAATCTCAGGGTTAATTTTCATTTCCCTAATGATAATGGTCTCAGTCTTGATCTCAGTCTCTTTCTCTCTCTCTCCCTCCCTCCCTCCTTCCCTCACTCCCTCCCTCCTTCCCTCTCCCATCTCCTCCCCCCCTCCCATCTCTGTCTTTCTTTGGTTTTTCAAAACACGATCTTGCTGTACAGTTCAGACTAGCTTTGAACTCACTGTGTAATGCAGAATGGGCTTGAACTCGTGCCAGTTCTCCTGCCTCGGGCTCCTGAGTGCTGGAATTGCAGGCCTGAGCAACCATTGCATGAAGTGATCTGTTGCATTGTTTGCCAGTATCTTGTTGAGGAGTTTTACACCACTGTTCATTACAGTGATTGGCCTGCAGTTTCATTTTTGGTTGAGTCTTCATCTGCTTTTGGAATCAGGGTAATATTAACTTCCAGGAATGACTTTGGGAGTGTTCCTTCTCTTTAAGTTTTATTGAGGAGTTTGAGGAGTATTCATGTAAAATCTTCCCTGAAGTTCTTACAGAATACAGCAGTGAATACATTGGGATTTTGGCTTTTCTTGGTAGTTTTTTTTTAATTAATGCATCAGTAGGATTATTGAGGAGTTTTATATCTTCTTTATTTAATTTTGGTAACTTGTGTTTATCTAGGAATTTGTCCATTTCTTTTGAATTCACTAATTTATTGATGTACAGATTTTCAAAGTTGTTGCTAATAATATTCTCAAATTTGGTGTTGTTCAACATGATTTAATCTCTTTGATTTCTAATGACATTTATTTGGGTCTTTTCTTTCCTTTGGGGGGTAAGATTGGCTAGAGTTTTGTATATTTCATTTATTCTTTCAGGGAACCAACTCATCATTGATCCTTTGTATATTTTTCAGTCTCTATTTCATTAAATTCTGCTCTGAACTTTATAATTTCCTTCCTTGTATAAGCTTTATGTTTAAATTGTTATTATATTTTTAGGATCTTGAGGTACATCTTCATGTCATTTACTTAGGCTTGTTCTATTTGTCTGTTGTGGGCATGTATATATGCAGTTGTAATAGAAGGAAGTTTATGAAATGAATATACTCGAGATTGGGTCTTTCTATGCAATTCAGGCTGGACTTGAACTCGCTATGTAAACCATGGATCTCCCTGCCTTGGCTTCCCGAGTGCTGGGATTATAATCCCAGACCATCATGCCCATTTAGATCTGCTTTTATTGTATCTCAAAGTCCTGGTGTGCTGTACTGGCATTATTGTCAGAGTCGAGGAACTGTCTCATTTCTTCCTAGATTTCTTCTGTGATTCACTGATTACTCACTAATATATGATTTAATATCCATGAATTTACATATTTTTGAGGTTTCTTTCAGCATTGATTTGTAGTTTCATTCATTACAATATGGTCTGATAGTATAAAAAGTGGTCCTGAGTTCAATCCCTGGTTCTGCAAAAA